GAGACAAATGCCAAATACAATACAAATTGGGAAATACCAAATCTAATATGTTTTTTAACGAGCTTTATGACATTTTGACAATTTAAATTACCATTTATCTTGAATTATTGCCATTAATTAATGTGTTAATTATTGCGTTATATAATAATAGTTTGTCCGTATTTTTCTTAAATATTAGTTGTATAAAATGGGCAAAAATATACAAACTTTATGTTTTTTATTTGATGGTTATAAAATATTGAACAGTAAACTTATAATCAAAATTTATAACGCCGACTTGTGTTGCTATTAATTGTACTTTTAATGCAAAACCTGGATTTCACATATCCTTTCACGCATTTTCATATCTGATACTACTGTCAACTGTATTGTTTAGTGTATTCTTGTACTTTTTTTTTTATAACCTTAACAGGTTCTAATTGCTATGGAGTTGCCGACATTTTAAAAGTTTCATTATCAAAAATCAAATGTAAAATAAAATGATATTTCCTTTTTATCCGTATCCAACTTAGCAAATTTAGCAATTTAAAATAAATCAGCGTAATCAAAAAATTTTATAATAAAAAAAGTTAACAATTCATCAAATATCTCTAATTAATACTATCAGTTAATGAAAGTAATTGTTAATACTTTTTTTCGACGGGAAAACAAAAAATATCATAGCGTAAAAATAACCAGAGAAGTTAGAAAAAAGTTCCCATTGTTTAAATAAAAATAAGATTCAGAATGTATAATACTGCGCTCTCTTGCACAAAAACGAGAGACCGTATGCATAACATTCTATATAATGTAAAGCACTCATCTGAAAATCATAAGATTTATAAGTAAAGCTTTATTATTTGTTTTAATTTAAAAACAAAAGAAATATAAGATATATAAATCTAAAAATTATTAAGATATTGATTAAAGTAAATTCCTTTTATGAAATAAAAAGCTTTTATTATTTTTGATTTTTACAAAAATTTGTAGTGAAAGTTGTTTGGCTGTTGTTAAACTTTTTTTTTTAATTAAAGTAGAAAAACACAGCTTTGTTACACTTTTCTTTTGTTAAAAATCTATCGTGACGTCTAATGCTAAAACTTTTATGAATTAAACGCGCTTCAAAGGAATTGCCAAAGTCTGTAGATTGTGACCTAGAATTTAAAGACTCCGAGTTATTGAAAAAAAATGGAGAAGGCGAGCTTCGGCTAAAACAACAACATTAGTTTTTCTCGGTATGCATTCATTATTTATTTTTAATCAAAAAAACTTGGTTTAAACCTTTTTTTTTTAACATTATCTTTGATATGAACACAACATGTGTTGGGAGTTTGGGATCCCTTTAAGTCTTCATTTATACATTTCCTAGTATTTTATCTTATTTTTTATTTTAAAGTAACACATAACTTAATAGTGGTTGCTTGCAATCTTGTTAAAAGTAAAAATATATGAATGTATGCCAGTATTTAATAAATAGTCAATGTAAGTATATAATTATAATATATTAAGTATTATAAATTTTTTTCTAGCCCCAGCTATCAACAAAAAATTTTATTTTCGCGTCATGGTAAGGGAGGAGGTGTGAACTTCCTGGTTAAATGCACTTCTGCGGTGCTCTGTGACAAGACCGTTAGGTCTTCTTGGGGCACTAAAAAAACAACAACAACAAAAAAAACCTAGCTAAATCTTATAATTTTATTATATTTTAGGGTTCGCAAAAGGGCTCATTTTTAGCCGCGACCAGGGCCCTAGTTACTTTCTGCAAGGTACAGTAAAAGGATGCAACTTTGCTTATTCAGTGAACCTGCATTCTTTTACTGTATCTGTCCCTTCATGATCTAAAATCGTTTATTCATCTAGTTTTTTTTATCATGCTTTGAAGTTTTCTTTTTTTTTTTTGTTTTTTTTTTGTTTTACTGAAGAGTTGAAGTTTTGTCATACAACTTACAAAATTTAAACTCTTCTTGCAAATGTATTTTTGCACTTTAAAAATACTTGTTGTTTCCTTCTTCTTCTTTTTTTTTTTTTTTTTTTCCTTTTTTCTTTTTTTTCTTCTTTTTGTAGCTTCCATTTTGAATAGTTTTTGTTTGCAGCCTTGCAAGTAACAACTTGCTTAGTCATTTAGAATGCAAATTTATTTGATTGAGAATTTAAATATAAAAACATGGCAAGAACTTCTAGCAATGTTTAACGACAATTATATTAAATATGGAAAGAAGTTCATCATTAGACACTATTTGAACAAGGTAGTCTCATGCAACAACAAAATATAACTTATTACGAATATTCAAAGAATGTGGTAGAGTGGTTTTCTAGTCAGGGAGTGAAAAATATACAAATGTAAAATGTAAAAAATAACATTTAAAAATGGATCTTTTTGTAAACTTGCAAAGCATAATGTTGCTCCATCTATAATGTCAAGTATATTTAAGAAGTATGACCACTTCTTACAGTTGTGCTAGAGCTCCATTATACACACAAAATGAAATATCAGTAGTGCAGTTCAAAATTTAATCTTAAAAATTTAAAGAGTCAAGTTAATTGTAATTAATGTTGTATCATATTTTAACCTGAAATAACCTCATTTATGTTATACAATTAATATGAATAGAATTGAATAAATACAACTGCGTATAAACATTTTTTAAAATATAAATATTTATTTTATTTCAATATATATTAATTGAGATTTTGAAGATCTATTGTGATCAGAGTCATCAGGTATAATAAGTAAAAATCATTACAAAAAAATTTGTTATAATTAAAACAAACCGTTAAAAAGTATAACATTAAAAAGCGCATAATATAATACAAAAAAAATTTTCAAATGACATCACGTAAATTAGTTGGTACATATTACCAACTAGTTTAATAAAAAATGTCCCTCTAAGTCTCACCAATATATATTTAGAATTGAATGAACATTTTAGTTGTTAGGTGCCTTAGTTTGTATTTGGAGGGTGTTTTCTCTTAATGTTGCAGAATATATTGTTTAAATTTATAGCTGATTTGAAAATATTTTTTATTTTTTGTTTCTTAATTAACATAATTGTTTAAAAAGCTGCCATAGATAACATAATTGTTATCAATTGTAGCTTTATAAATGATTGGTTGTCCATTTGTTGATAACTGGTATTTTTAAAATTGTTTTTTATATAGTTTCTGGCAATTTTAATTAGATTGTTCTAGTTGTACCCGTTTTCAACAAATGTTTCCATTAGACAATTTCATTTAATTTCATGTTAAAGGTATTTCATGTTATTCAATTTCATGTTAATCAATTTCATGTTAAAGGTATTTTTGAGAGCATTTTATTTTTTTATTTTTTTTATATAACAAAAAAAATTATTGTTGATATCAAATTAAAAAAAAAAAAAAGACATTATATTTATATGTAATTAAGCTCTTAATTTAAATAATCTGGACATATATAACCAAAAATATAAAAGATAAGGCCAATCAGAAAGTTTTTAAAAACATTCTAGTCTTTTAATTTACTATTTTGAGGTTTTTTACAATAACATTAAATTTGACTTTTGTTTCGTTGTATTCTGTACCTAATTTTGTATTGTTAAATGTCATAGCATAGTTAAGAGCATAGTTAAGAATTTTTTGCTTCAAACAGTATATTTAACTCCTTTACAAATGTGTATATCTTTATTTTTCTTCTTTTTTCTGAAAAATCGAAACATATTTTTAGAATTATAGCTCATAAAATATATCAGAATAAAATAAATTTATATATATATATATATATATATATATATATATATATATATATATATATATATATAAATGCAGCCATAGACTGACACAGGGTCAGGGTAACAACATCAGTTTTTGCCATGTCTAATAACATCTGTCCAACAACATCTGTAAATATAATGAGGTATAATAACATCTGTCCATCAACATCTAAAATTTCATTGATGTCTAATAACATCTGTCCGACAACATCTAAAATTTCAATGGTGTCTAATAACATCTGTGCAAAAATTAAATGAATATTACAGATGTAGTTACATCTTTTAAATTATCAAAATGTAATAACATCTGTGCAACTACAGTGAAGAATCAGAGTTTATTTGGGGATACTGTTTTTTTTTTTTTTTCAGCAATGTTGAGAGGGGGGGGGATTATGTTTTTGATTTCCCCCTCCCCTCATTCTTCCCTAGTTTAACTGGTGCTGCAACAATAATTTTTAATCATCATTTTCTTAATAATCATTTATGTTTATCTTGTTCAGTTATAATAAGGTGTTGATTTAAAGACATTTTTTGATTACATGTATTTACTGATGTTACTTATCTTTTACCTAAGATTTTAATAAATGCTTTTGTTTAAATTTATATTTTAGTAAGTTTAAATTTAACTTACTAAAATATAGTTATTAACTATATTTTAGTAAGTTTAATTTAAAATAATAATTAAAAATATTTTAAACAATTTTTAATCAATATTTACATTACATGATATATTTACATATATTATATCGCGTAATATTTGTAAAATTAACAAAATAGTTTTACGTCTTGTATTTGAATTACAAATATAAGCATTTAATAAACAAATTCGATAAGTATTTAATAAACATATTTAATAAACTATTCAAATAAAAACATAAGCATTTAATAAACTTATTTTCTATTATTTAAAATTTGAAATTTTGATTTAAATAACTTAAATAACTGATTTAAATAATTTGATTTAAGTAAATCTGTTCATTTAACTTTTACTAAAGGTTATAATTTTTAAAGTGATTTTAAGTTGCATTTTAAATTAAAGGTAATTAAAGAGATAATTACAGTAAATGTAATTTAAAAAATATTCTATTATCTTGATTAAAAACCATATTATATTTTTAAAAATATAATATGGTTTGTATGGGGTAGCAATCTTTTAATGTTTTTTCTTTTTTAAATTGTAAAAAAAACTATTAATTTGAAATATATAATTTAAATATAATATGTATAAATTTAAAAAAATCTTATTTAGATTTTTAAAATCTTTTTTTTTTTCAGAGATATACAAGAGATTGTTTTGACTATGAAAGAGCCTTCACTTAATGTTTCTAATTTACAACTGACATTTGTTGATACTCCAGGATATTTTGATGATAAAGGTTACGAGCAAGATAAAACAAACTATAATGCTTTAAAAGTCTATAGACGAAAATGTCTTAGTGATTTTTATCCCAATCTTATATTTATTGTAATTCAAGGTACTGATAATCGGTTTTTAAATGGTCCATTAAAAAAGTTTCTTAAAAAGCTCAAAAAGCTTGATATAGTTTGTTTATCATATCCCAATGTTATTTGCCTTTTTACTTATGCGAAAAATTTTTTGAATGATTCTAAAGAAAATATTGAGATGAAAAAAGAAGGGTTAATTAATTTATGCAAAGAAATGCTAAGTGTAACAGTAACTGTGGCTTACATTGATAATGATTATAAAGATTTGAAAACTCAAGGAGACTGGACTGTACTGCCAGATGGTACTCTTCAGCCTATAAACGTATTTGATTGTGCAAAAAAGCTAATGAAAGGTAATCACTACAAACCAGAAGGAAAAAAGTATATTGATCCTCTTGGTATTAAAACCTTAGCAAGTTTTTTTAAATCATCTTCAAGTGGTTATAAAATTAAAATTGATGTGAGTAATTTTCATGATGGAATTAGCAATGATTTAATGGTAAGTACATTTTTGATTTTTTTTATATATAAACAAATAGTCAAATTAACTAAATTAATGCAAAATAGTTTAAATGATTAATTAACTCAAAAGAATACAGACATGTTATTATGTTATAATTTAATTAAATGTTTACTTAATTTCCAGTTTTTTAAAATGTAAAAATATTTTAAAATGTAAAAGTATTTATCAAAATAAAAAGTATTTATTTTGATAAATACTTTTTATTTTGATAAAAAAATTGTACAAAAAGACATGTTGAAATATATTAATAAAATTTATTTGGATTATTATTACTAGTATTTTCATTTTAACAAACTTTTTTTTGTCAAATTCAAATTAAACTCAATTGCAATAATATACTTCTTTTTTTTTTATAGTTTTATTTGGTTTGTACTCATTTTTATGTATCGAAAAAAAAAATCCAAATAATAATTTAAAACATGTCATTAAAATTTTAACCATAATTAACCAGGATGTAATTAACATTTATAAGGTTTTCTTGCTTGATAAGAAATTCAAGTAAAAGCATTTTAAAATTGTTTTTTTATGTAAATGTAAAAAGCAAGTAAAAGCATTTTAAAATTGTTTTTTTATGTAAATGTAAAAAAATTTTGAAGGCTTTTTTAAGTTAAAATTATTTAAAGATTGCAAATAAAAAAATTATTGTAAATAAGTTTAGGAAATCTATATCCTTTTATTAATTAGATTAATGTTAAGTTTTTGAGAATAAAATAATTTTCTAAAATAAAAAGATGATTTTTTTTAGCCACAACCATATTCAGCTAATCCAGAGATTTTGGGTGAAATATTTGTTGGAAAAGGTTATGATGTTATTTACGACAAAATAAAAGAGTCCTGTATCTTTGAATTTGAAGAATCAGAAGAACGTGAACAAAATGTTAACAAAGCTTTTGTTATCTCTAGTTATGAAAATGAAGCTTCATTTTTTTTTGGAGCAGATTCAGAGTTTAATATCACCCAACGACTAAATGCACTTGGTTTAGGTGATAAAGTAGAAGCTAAGTTTATTTTAAGCAAGAAAACTGATTTAAATGATTCGTCTACTCAATCAAAGTTATCATATCTTCGTGAAATTAGAACTCACAAATTGTGCATACCTGATACCACCAAACTCAAATTGAGCAAATTTTTTAAGGAAGCTGTTGTTACTCCTGATTTTCCAACCCGTTTTGTAGCAAATGATCCTAATGTTACAGAATTTTTTAAGAAATTTTTTGAGCAATGGGGGCATTACGTTGTGACATCAGCGTATTTAGGAGGGTCCATTGAAATTAAGAAAATTTTTACAAACAACGTTGAACAAGATTTAGTTGAAGCTCAACTAAAATGCAACTTGAATGTACTGGAAAACGGCTTTCAAAATAGTTTAGACTGTGGTACAATTTTGGGTCTAAATCCATCTTTAACAGATATAGAACTTAATTGGATTGGCGGTGTGTCAACAACGCAAATTTCAAATTTGAAGTACATTGAAACAATTGACTCCTCTAACCCATTTAAAATTTGGAAAGCCTCTTTATCTTCAAAACCTTCTGTTTTAAAAACAAAAATGAAACTTCAATCTATAGCAGATTTTGTTTCTTCTATAGACAAACGAAAAGGTGAAACTTGTCAAATTGCTTTTAAGCATTTGCTTGGTATGTCAAAAACTAGGTCTTTTATTAGAATAAATACAAATAATAGTGCTAAAGCACCTGATACCCGCGACCGTGCTGCAAATGATGCAGAACCTGACAACAACAGTTGTTTCTCAGGAAATGGAAAAATAATTGTAATGAAAAGTTATCCTGAAATCAAGTTAATCAAGGAATTAAATGTTGGCGATAAAGTTTTATCATTTGAAAGCAAAACTAAGAAATTTATATACTCCACAGTTTACATGTTCGCACACAAAAATGATACAAAGAAAACGAGTTTTCTCAAAATAAGTTGCAAAAATGGAAATTCTGTCACTCTTTCACCAAAACATCTTGTTTATACTGATTGTTATAAAGTAAAACATGCAGATCAAATAAAAATTGGTGACGGAATTTGGACAACATGCGCCAATGATTCTAAGTCAATGAATTTATGCAAAGTTGATGCAATTGAAATAACAGAATCAGGTAAAAATGTTAACCTGTTGATATATAATATTATTTTTTAAATTTATATTAAAGTTTTAATCTATTTAATATAAATTGTTGTATACAGATATGTAAATAATTCAAACAAAAATATTATTCAATTTCATTAAATTAATAAACTTCAAGAAAAAAAAATTATTTTTAAAAGTTTTAATAGTGTAAATCAATTTTTTTTTTAAATTTTGATTTATTTTCTCTGATGAGAAAATAAATCAAAAATATGTTGTAAAATTTTTACGTATTTTACATAATTAAAACAGAAGTAGAAAAATAGATTTTAATAATATCAATGTATGCTGTAAGTTACATAGTGTTTAAGTATTTTATGTTTGAACAGTATTGGTAGAAAGAAATTATATAAAATTTTAATTATCATTTTTTTGCACCCCATCTTTGATTATCAAAAATCTAAAATTTACAAATGGTTTATTATGTTATATGTTGAGTTATAGGCATGTTATGCAGGTTGTGAAAAGAGGTGGTTGCCCCGGTTAAAATTAACTTATTTAGGAAGGTAAGGATAGAGTTGAAACTGGTTTATAAAATACTTTACCATCTATTTTATTTACTGATTATTCATCATTCACATCAAGTTGCGGTGATATTTAAGGTCTTATGATTGCGTTAAAATATACAAAAATTAATAATTTTTTAAATAAGTTGAGGTTCAGGTCACATCCAACCAATGATTAATAAACTAACCGTTATTGCGGTTGATGGACCAACCATTATCGTAATTTTTTGAAGATTCTTTTTTTAAAACCATCATAATTAAAATATTTAATATTTTTTCTGATTATGATTTATGATTTATTAATTTTTCTAAATTTTTAGTTGGATTTTACGCTCCTTTAACTATGAGTGGAAATATAATTGTAGATGGCATTTTATCCAGCTGCTATGCTAACGTGATAGACTTCGCTTTACCCGGTTTCGGTAGAGTTTCTGGCCAATTTATTGCACATTTTGGTACGGCTCCTTTGAGAATAGCATATTTAGTTTTTCGAAAAAAATTTCAAACCAACGAAGAAATGCCAAAATCTATAGTGACTCTTAATCGAATTGGAACAAAAGCTAACTTAGTTTACCGACCGTAATAATATTTTTCTATAATAATGTAAAAGGTATAAACTAGATAATAAACACTTTTAATATTTATGATATAATGAATATAAATGATTATGTTTAAAATTAAATTTTATACAAATTTATTTTCTTATTTTTATTAAATCTTATATATTTTAAAATGCTTTTTTTTTATTATTATGTATATGTAATGTATATGTAAATATGTATGTGTGTGTGGTGTGTGTGTGTGTGTGTGTGTGTGTGTGTGTGTGTGTGTGTGTGTGTGTGTGTGTGTGTGTGTGTGTGTGTGTATTATATTATATTTATATATACACGTTTGAGCAAGTTCTAAAAATCAAAAAAATTAATTTTTTTATTTCTCCAGAGTTTTTTTTAAGTCAGAATAAAAAAATTATGATGCATGGTAATTTTATTTTATTTAAATACTTTGTGTAAATTTATCTACAAAAACGCATGGTTATGCAGATTTTTACGCAATACAATATCTTTATAGATATGTTAAGTCATTTGGAAAAAAAAACCTAATTATGTTGCATAAAACATCTATGTATAGCCTTAACGGTCTATAAAAACTTTATTAAATTGCATGAAACGAAAAAAAATCTTATTTTATTGCATAAAACGTCTAGCAATTTCGTTTAACAAATTTCTTTATAATTGCTTTATTTTTAAAAAATGTTATATTATATTTTTATATTGTTTTTTTGTTTTTCTTGGATTTCCTCCATACTTCTTTTTGTAATTATGCAAAAATAAAAGTGAATGTCTTTTCTCTTTGTTTCGGGCAATATCAATTTTGTCTTTTATGAGTTTAACGGTTCTTTCCGAGCGATCATTAACAACTGAAAGATTAAAAACTGCCTCCTGAAATTTTAAATAGAAATCATTGCAGGTCCAATATTCTGGAGGGGTTTTCATCCATTAACAGTCGCTTTTACTTTGGATCATATCATAAGGATCAATAGCCACGAATTTTCTGTGGCTAAATTAACTAAGCTGGGAGGCTTCATATCCTGGGTAAAACAAAAAGCTGTTAACCTTTCTTTTAAAAAAAATTGTATTTTAGATTATTTTAATAATACAGTAAACCGGGGTTACTCTATTTTTTTTCAAGTTATAATTATGGCAAGAATTTACATGAAATTGTTTAAATCTCAAACATTAAAGTTTTAAAAATAGTTTATATTTTGATTATTTAAAGTTTTACTTTGTTTATTGGTTGTTATTGTTCCCCAAAAAATGAATTAAATAATTCGGATATTTTTCTCAAAAAAATTAGTCAGAATACTTCGTACACTGGCTCAGCTAGTATAGCAGCTTGTTGTCTAAGTTGCATAATTTTTGTTTATAAATTTATTAAGCATGTAAAATCTAAAGAAGTTTGTTTGCCTACTATAATTATGTTCCATTGCTGTAGCATAACATACTTTGTTGTGTACATTTTTTCGCATACGGGTAACTTTGAATAACGTTCTAAGTAACTCCACTACATAAATAGTCAGAAACATGAAACAATTTTAAAATTTCCTTTGTCATACATGTATTGTATATAATATATTAAGTATTGTACATAATATTATTGTTATTAAAAACTAAAATATCATGTGTACAAACAGTAAATCACACATAGTTTGTGTGTGCGTCTTTGTGTATATGTGTGTCTTTGTGTGTATGTGTATATATGTGTGTGTATGCATTGTTTATATTTATATATATATTTGTACATATATATTTATATATATATTTGTACATATATATATATATATATATATATATATATGCATATATATATACAGGGGCGGATCTAGCTTTTTTTTTTTGAGGAGTGCTGTGCTGCAACGATGAGGGGGGTTTTCATTAACCCCTCCCCCGCCCTTTGCGTTGGTGGGTGTTTGTATAAGGCGGTCATAAAAAAGGTTTTTATAAAGTACGGGGGAGGGGGGTCACTCAAAAGCGTACAAGTTTGTTTAAGAGGTGTTCAAGGCAACGAATACGTACGTAGTTTGACTATATTTTTCATCAACTTTTTTTAAAATATTCAACCTCCTTTTTTTAACAAATGAAAAGGCTATATTCCTCAGGGTCTTTTACCTGTCTGCCTGTCTTTTTATACCCTTTAAATTGCCCGTATTTTGATTAAAAATTCAGATCAGAAAGGTTACAATTCTTATAAACATATCAATTTTATATACATAATAATACTTTGTATGCAAAATAATGCTGCGACTTTATTTTATTAGCAGTAATCAACTTTTATATCAATAACAATTCAATAACAGGGTTACCCCCCCCCCCTTCCTCTCCCCGATTATTAATTTTGAAACATAAAATATTTTTGCTATTTTTTTACTTTGAGAAAAATATTTCTCTCATTAATAGATGAAAATATGAACAACCAACCAAAAAAACTTTAAGAAATATAAACAACCAACCAAAAAAAACTTTTTTAATTTTAAGACTTCGGTTTATCAAGATTCCCCCCCTCCCCCCTTTATTAGATTTTAGAAAAATTTCCGACCCATTTATTAGGACAACCCTCTCCCCCGTTTATACGGCAGGCGAGAATACTGTGCGAAAGTAATTTTGTGTACATAAAAATATTTTGTATGCAAAGTAATGCAGCAACTATATATTGGCAGTAATCGACCGTTATACCAAGAATCAATCAATAATGATACAATAATTTCATGAACCCAAACAATGAACACACAATTTATTTATTATTCGTATGACATATAACATAAACTAGGAATAGCATAAGAATTGAACAGTAAAACCCAGTTTTGAAATGTTAAAAGTAAACAAATTTCTCACCCTAACTGTACTAAATTTCTTTTTCTAAACTGTTAGCTTATGACCAATAAAGTAAATTTCAAATCATGAAACTTTACTAAATTAAAATCATGAAACTTTACTAAATTAAAACCATATTTCAACAGTAAGAAAACTAAAAAAAATAGTAGAATAGTTACAAAATAAAGAACTGATTAAAAAAACTGTTAATAAAAATCTAGTTTCAATGAAACTCAAAATTTGCTTCTAATATGATCTTTAAACAGAAACTTGAAAATATATAAAGTAAGCATCTAGTTTAACTTCTAAAAACACCTGTGTCATGCACATTATATTGCAATTATAACACAATTGTATTACAACTCACTATTAAAAATAATTATTAATACTATGATATAATAAATTTATGCAAATAATTTACTAAAAATATATAATTATACACAATAATTGTTTATAAATTGTAATAACAATAATAATAAATTTTTACACTAAATACATTAATAATAGTGAATAGATTTAATAACATTATATAACACTGTTTATAAACAAAATTATGTAACAGTAATAAAATAAAATTTTCATGATATTCTGAGTTTCGTGATATTCTGGGGTCATTTATTTTCCAAGGATATTGCCTAAAAATATAAATAAAAATGTAATAACAGACTTATCTTTAAATCCAGTTATAATTTAACTTTAATTATAATTATAACTATTAATAATGCTAATTTACTAGTAATGATAACTCAAACTTTTACTCAGTCAGATTTTCAATTCCCATTGAACTTTCTATACATACCGAGAACTTCCCCTAACTCTGAAATTCGCTAAGTCTGACTATTTATCTATTCCCCTTGAGAGTCAGACTTAACAAGATTCTACTGTATATATTTTTTGAAGTATAATTTCATGCTTAAAAAATACAAAAAAAAAACAGTAAATAATATAATAATATTTTATTTAATAATATAATATAAATATATTATTTACAATAAAACAGTAAATAATATATTTATATTATATTATTAAATAAAACAGTTTAAATGGGATCAGAATTTAAAATATCTACAAGACTATTAAATCTGTGAAATTGTGTTACGTAGATAGATTTTTAAACGACGAATAACAGAGATTGATCTTTCGCAAGTGCATGTTGTTATTGGAATAGTTGCAAGAATTTGAAAGTAAATATATTAGGAAAGGTAAATATATTAGGTAAAGCTAAGTAAAGGTAAATATATTAGGTAAAGGTAAGTAAAGGTAAATATATTAGGAAAAGTTATTCTATCAATAAGAGGAAGGAGTTTGGTTAGAGTAGTGGGAAGGGAGTTTTTAAAACTACGCCAATAATATTCCCACATGTTCAATTCGGTCATCATATAGTGTGTTTCCGGTAGTTCATCCTCATACTCATTTAAAAAAAAAAAGAAATTTGCTTCTCCATTCAGCAACATTTAAAACGTTAGTTGGCATTGCAAAGAATCCATTATAAACAGCAATGTTTCTATTAGAAAAACGTAATTGAATCTGGGATGATAAATGGTCAAGAAAAGAAATTGTAATAACTTTCTTGTAATACTCATTAATAGATTCACTAGGACAATTATTTCGATTAAACTGTTTTCCTATTGTACGAGGCTTGTGCTCATAAACACCAACACTAGCTTAAAATGAATAGTAAAATGAATCATCTCTGTGACGTCGAAGAGGTATGTTTTGTTTTCTACACATAATAATTGCCAGAACTATTGGTTTTAATATTTCTCTATTTTTCTTGACTTGTTCATCAATTACTGTTGAGATTTAAGTCAATAAAATTTATCTTTTGCTCCATACATTGGCGAAAATGAGTTGTCTTTAGAGTTGCAGTTTGGTGAATTAGTGAACTTTCAGCATGTTTATCAAACTTATTAATGGCCTTCATTTTGTGTTTCAGTAAAATTGTGTTCATGCTTAAGTATATATACTTAAGCATGAACGCAATTTTAATAAAAAAAAAGTTTTTTAAATTTAAGCACCTAGAAAAAAATTTTACACATCTTTCAGCTTAAATAAAAAAGTTTGTAGTAAAATGTTTAAGTACAAAAACCTATAGTATAGCTTTTTGTATAACCTATACACGATTTCTTAATTTGCTATTATTTTAACCATTAATCAACACAACACACACACACATAAATACTTCGTTTGTTTTTTTATTTTATTATAAAAATTTTATTTATAATATATATTTTTTAATTTAATATAATTATTTAAGAAACAAATTATTATCTCACTGGTTGAAAATCACTTTCTACTCGAAATGATTGAGATA